GGGCTCAGTTTTAAGATTTATTTCATTTGCTAACATTCATTCTTGACCTAGACAAAAACAATTAGAAGATTAATTTTTTTGTTGTTGAACCATTTTCTTATATGAATAACCAAACAATTCCTTCTCAATGAACACAACTTTTTCTTTTTTTCTTTTTTTTGTTAAGAAGCTATAAATAAATAAAAGCTTTAAATGTTACTGGGCTCAAGTTAAACTGAAAATGTCACAGACTCGTTGCTCAGAAAACCCTGGCTTTCCTTTTTCTTAGCTCCAGGGGAGCAGCTGGGTCTGCTGGGCCTAGGTTGGGGATGGGCCAGGGACTGATTTTTTAATTTACTGGATTTTTGAGTTTGCCCTCTTAGCAACACCCCCCCTCCCCTCCATGAGTTCCCTGGCAGATAAAGTCATCAGAAAGGGCAACTCTAAGGGGGAACTCCCCTTCCCCATTGGATCATCCCTTACGTTTCCAAGATGATGCTGAAATGAAAGGCAGTACAAGTGATGCCTTCAATCAAAAGCCAACAGCATGAACCGAACATTCGAGGACGGTCATTGGCAGCTGCGGGTTTGCTCTGCCTCACGGGCACCCGAAGTGTTGGTAATGGAAAGAATAAGAGACCTTTTTTTAAAAAATTAAAAAAAAAAACTTTCAAATGCAAACGAAGAAACAGGAAAATCATCACTTCAAGGGGAATTGGGGCAATTAAAAATAAGTTAAAACATATTTCAATATGTACAAAACAAATCACGTGCTCCCAGCACTATTTTCAAAGATCAGCCTTTCAGAGTACAGGTCTCTTAACTCAGTCCTCCGAGGGAGTGCCAGGCTTGGTGCAAAGGGAATTGCAAAAGAATTCGGTTGCATCCATCCACGTCATACTCGGGCCAGTATGCCTGGCAAATGAAAAGTCCCTTCCTGAATGTGGGAGTAACACCAAGTGAAGTATGAGTGGGCTCTACAGCCCACACTAATCTTGGTGAGAGATCCCTGTCACTCTTCCAAACCACAGCTGATCATTTTGACTAGAGAAATTCTCCATTAAGATTTTCAAAGCTAAACCACTGATTACTGGTTTGCCATTTAAAAGGGCCAACTCTACTAAATTTACCCACAGAATCACCTTAATTGCTTGCATATGACATGCACCCCCAAGCACATAATCTGCATTCCCCCAAGCATGTAACCAGCACCCACCCAATCATCTCTGTCTATGTGATGCACCCAGCTTATGATGTGCATTTTTAATTAGGTTGGCAGAAATGGGCCAGGAAGGCAAGTCTCCCAATGAGCTGACTGCTCTCTGCCATGGCATACAAGCTAGCAACCCATCCCATCTGGTGCTTGATTCCTCTTCAGTCCCTTATGTATAAGGAAATAAAGCCCTGATACCAGGACATGCTGTACTAAAGCAAGAAATCAAACCAAGGTGAAAAAAAAAGCTTCCCCTTTCTCTGCAGTGATTTTTTTTTTTTAACCTATATATTCTAGTGAAAGTCAGGCTAAGAAAGGTCCTTACTAACACCACCTTGAGACAGAAGTTTATATCCAATCTTCCTCTCAGGAGCTTTCTTGGTGAGGTTCTGTCTCTTACTCCCTGTGTGACCCTGAGCCAGTCACTTAAAGCTCTCTAGGCTTCCCTCAATTGTATCATCTATCAAAAGAAGATAAAAATACCAACTTCACGGGAGTGTCATGAGGATCACTTAATAGACGTGAAAGCACCTGGAATAGCTAAATATAGCTATGGTATTTTTATTCCACTCCACAGGCTGTTGTCACAACCTGTTCTGGAAACTCTGCCATGCTTCCAGGAAAGAAGGGGTGAAGAGGCAGCTTGCTTGGCACATACCTAGAGAACAAGAACATTCAAAGCCTTGTCTAGTGTCAGGAAGCTTTTGCAAAATGGGAGGGGCCTAGGGATTTTTCAGAGCTGCTGATGCCACTGTGACACTGAGGGCATTTCTGGATCATTTGGATGAAGGATTGGAATGTGCGATGGTTGGTTTTGCTAGAAAATGGAGGTGGCATCTCAGGCTGAGGGAGGTAAGAGGACACCCACTTCACTTAAGTTCAGATTACAAGAGATTGCCTAATCAGTCTCCCAGGGTTGCTGGGGAAGGGGGTCGGGGTGGAGCCTGGTTTTGGATTCTGACACTGGGTCACTCCATAGAGCTAGGGTATTATTCAGTGAGACCACCCTGGAATGCCCCAGGACTGAGAATCCCTTTTCTTCAGCAACACTTCCTTTCCAACACTTCAGTTTATAGTGTGACCAGAGAGGGTACCAGCCTAGGAAATCTGGGGAGAGGGAGATAAAAAGAAGTTGAAGAATTACTACACGAGGAAAAGAGAGGAAAAGAAAGATGGGGGTGGGAAAGAAGTGGAAAAAAAAGGAGAGAAACAATGGCGAATGTTCATCTGGAAACAGTGTGGTATGAGGGAGAAGAAAGGAAAGAGGAAAAGAGGGAGAGAGGAAGTAGAGAGGAGAGTGAAAGGAAGCAATAAGAAGGAAGAAAACCAGAAGATACTGGGGAGGAGAGCGGGAAGATTTGAGTAGTAATGCTGCCATGGGGGCTTGGCCAGTGGATTGGAAAGGCGGGTGGGGATAACTATGAAAAGGTTTAATGGATGGGAAAAGTGGCTCTAAAAGAGTATTCATCGGAAAGTAAAGACACACACCAGGGGCCAAAGGATCACACAGGAATCTGTAAGGGAGGTGCTTAACAAACTGAAGGACTGCCCTTTAATACAGGCTGAGGGAGTTCAAGAGGCCAAGAGTAAAACCCTCTGGAGTTTCTGGTCATTGAACTTCTGAGTAACAAGAGATAGCCATACACCTCTTTTCAGTACCAACCCCTGTTGATGGAACACTTTCTAAAACATGAGTCCCCTCTTTTTCCTGCCTCATTCAGAGATGTGTGGACGACTTAATGGAATCCTTCTTTCCTGACTCAGGGTCTCGTAGGGCCTCAAGGATACTGTCCTGAACATCCACTCTAATTGCTTGATGTTGAGAGAGAAGGTGCAGGGGAATTGGGTTGAATTCAGAATGTGCTCAAGATAGCCCTTGGAAATGATTTTCTTGACTAGGTCCTTCATGCCAGCATCTTTCCTTGCGGTTTGCATTTCTTTCATCTCAAGTTGAATGGCAACCATTGCCTTTCCCTTCCTCCCCATCCCACAAAATAATTCTGGTTAACTGAGGGTCCTATATCTGAGTTGTAGTTAACTGAGGTTTTAGAAATTTTTTATTTTTGTTAACTGAGGTTTCAACTTCATTTATCTATGGAGGCCATAAGACAAATAAGCAAATGTGAAAATAACTGGAGTTTGAGGCTTGAGGCAGAGTTTTTGACTGTGGTCACATCCTTTAGCAAACTTCCAAACATGAGGGAAGTTTAGGAAGGCTTCCATAAGTCTTTTCCAGAGTGTTCCACACACACAGGGGATGCTTCTATCCTGTGAAGGATGCTGGCCTCATTCCTGCTCTGTGCTGTCCATTCAGGCAGTAACATCTCCAGTGGCCAACTGGTTCCATGTAATTGGTTGACTGGAGGTGCTGGATGGAGACTCCAGTTAGGCCAGTCGGACACCCTCTGACAATACTCTCTGAAGTCACCGATTCCAGGGATAAAGGCAGCGACACAAAAGTAGGACATGGTGCTGGCGGGCCTTGGACGGGGAGAGAGCTGCTGGGTAAAAATACCTCAGTGGGCCTAGCTCCGAGGGCCCCTCTTTCTTATATCACAGGCATGCTCACAACTTCGGAACATACAACTGCCTTCCTCTAATCACTGTCTACCCTCTGTAACGGTTCAAGTTCCAGGGAGTGATTAATAAAGTCTAACACTAAAATTACCCCCCCACACCACCCAAATAATTTCCATGTCAATATATAAGTGCTGAGTAAAGCAGCAAAGATACCCAAGCGGTTTGGAGAATGGGAAATAAGAGAGCTGGAAATGGGCAGGAATCTACTGCTGGTCCCCTATTGATAGGCATCAACTCCAGTTAGAGATTCTGATATTAAGCAGGAGAATGAAATCTGACTCCTCCTTGGGGGAAAAATGATTTGAAATGGCACTTGGGACCAGCAGGCCTCAAGTCAAAGACCCAATGCTTGTCATTTTCTTTTTTCCTGTGGCTTTCCCATTGTGTTACTCTCTAAATAAGGAGGCTGTTTAGTCTTCAGGCAAACTTTGAAAGCTAGAGATAGGGCAATCGCAGGGGAAAAAAAAACCTTCTTAAGGTAATTCAAAGAAGTAATTATGTTTTCCTGAACAAAGAAAGGTACCTGCCCTCATAAATATTTCAGATGCTCGCAGGTAATAAAGGCATGGGTGATGGTTTCCGTCTGGGTCCAGATAGTCTCTTCAGGCTTTTGAGTGAGATGTTCCCCATGTTCTGTGGGAAGAATCCGCCTGATGTAGTAAAACAAATCAAAACAAAACACTGGTGTTTTGACCTTTTTTAAGGCTACATGGAGTGTACCTAGAGAAAGGAAGGGATGATGTGTGTATGTGTGTGTCTGTGTGTGTGCATAAATACCGCCAATTCCACATGGAATCAAATTTGGTTTCTCTTTCCTGTGCTCTGAAGATGACCTCTTAGTTGCCAGGTGAAGTGATCAGGGCCCCTTAGCATAGGGGTATATCCTAGATGGCTTCAAAATCCCCTATATTCCCCCTTGAGTTTGAAGCCCTCCCTTAGATGCCTTTATTTTACTCTGTTTTCCTTTGTGGCGATATGAACCTGAGCACTGCTGCTTTCTGTGGTTACATGATGGACTGATAGCCAAGCCATCCTGTCCCCTCGACTTTCTTTTTCTTTTCTAAAAGCTACCACTGCCTTCTCTCCCATTGGCCTGGAAGCTCAGGGCACAGATGCAAAGGAATGTGACCCTCTTCTGAGCTTGGGGCACAAACCATTTGTGCAGTCCTGTACCTCAGGTGGGGGGAGCTGACTTGGTGGTTCTGTGTTAAGTACAAGTTGGCTGTGACCCATTTAAAATTTTCCTTTATTTATTTTTAAAGAACGCCTGGCCTTGTAGAAACAGTAAAAAGCCACACTTCCCCACTCCCTCTCTCCCTCCCCCCTGTTGTGTATTTTTCAGACACATCTACTTTCTGTTAAACAGACTTGGGATTTTTTAAATAAAGTTTTGTGGGCTTCTGTCATACAACCATACGATCCCCCCCATGAGAATTCTTGGGCGCTGTCAAGTAGAAAAGGCTCCCCTGGGCTACCACTTCTCTATAATATGGCTCATGTAGTCTTCAGTGGGCAAACGTCCCTGCTCCTCTGCCTCTTCCTTGGGAAGGGCCTCGCTGGACCTGTGGAGAAGTCTTTCCTCTCGATTTTTAATCCTCTGCTCCATCCTCTCCAGCTGCCGCTTGTACTGGTACCGTTGCTGGAAGAGGTCCTTGGCATAGTCATAGAGCTGCACATCGAGGTCATTCAGCTCTTCAATCCTCCGGATGGTTTCACTGTCTGCCTCCACGCCGCCGGCCCGGGTGCTGTTGTACTGCATGAAGGGCCGGATGAACTTCAGGTTGAAAGTCCTTTCAAACAGGTACTGGGTCTTCCTCTGGAACTCCGTCAGGCCGAAGAAAGCCATGTCCCGAAGGTTCTTCTTGGCACTCTCCAGAAGGACCTGCGCCCGCTTGTTCTCAGGGATGAAGGACATGTTGTAGCAGCCTACCAGGCTCAGGTCGGCCAGCATCCTTACCTGGCGGTTGTTGGCCAGGTTGTAGGGGCAGTCCATGAACTCCTGCAGGGTGCAGCCTGACCAGTCTGTGCCTTCGTAACAAGGGGGCAGCTCCTCAGGTGTTGGGGTCCGCCCATCACACATGTGCAGTGAGGTCTTCCAGGTGGCCCCACGCTGAACATGCCGCCACTCGCTGAGGTAGCGGGACACGGGGTCTCTCAGCAGCGTAATATAGTAGAATTTTCTGAAATGAGACAAGAAGAACAAAGGAGAAGAGTGGAGAATCAGTCAGCCAGCGTTTATTAAGCACTAACTTACAAAATTCCTATTCTGATAAAAGAAGATAATACGTGAAATGCTTTGCAAACTTTAAAGAGCTATATAAATGCTAGCTACTATTACTACTACTATTAATATTATTACTACCACTACCACTACTTTTTTTTGTTTTTTGTTTTTTTAGTGAGGCAATCGGGGTTAAGTGACTTGCCCAAGGTCACACAGCTAGTACGTGGCAAGTGTTTGGTCTGAGGCCGGATTTGAACTCAGGTCCTCCTGACTTCAGGGCTGGTGCTTTATCCACTGCGCCACCAAGCTGCCCCCCACTACCACTATTATTATAACTATTGCTACCACTACCACAACTACTACCACTACTACTATTATTATAACTACTACCACCAGCATTACAACTATCACTACCACTACTACTACTGCTACTATTATTATTACAACTACCACTATCACTACTACTAACATTACTACTACCACTGCTACTAGCATTACTACTACTATCACTACCACCACTATTACTACTGCTACTACTACCACCACCATCACCACCACTACTACTACTACCATTAACTACCACTAATAAATACTACTACTACTACTACTACTACTACTACTACTACTGATAGCTGGCATTTGTAAAGAAAAGAGATTTGCAGAGCATTTCACATACATTAGCTCATTTAAGCTCCACAACAACCCTGTGGCAGGTTTTCATTAGGCTTTTATTAACCTCATTTTACAAAGGAGGAAATTGAAGCTAAGAGTGATTAAATGATTTGTCCAGGGTCATAGGTTGTAGGTGCCTGAAGCAGGATTCTCATGCAGGTTTTCCTGGTGGACTTCCAAGTCCACCGTTCTATCCACAGTGCTAGGTCCTGTGCAAAAGACTGGGGATACAAAGAAAAAGCAAAATGACTCTTGCTCTTGGGAAGCTTCTGTTCTAATGTGGGATAAGAGGGACTGCACTAGCAGTTTAGGGAGATCAAGGATAGCTTCCTAGTACTTGAACCTAATCTTACAGGAATGAAGCTAGTGAATGAATGTGAATTCAGAGATATTTTATATTTTGGAAGAGTCTGAGTCTGTCAAACAATAACAATTTCATTTCCCTATCAGTTTAGGTGAGACTGAACAAGGTGAGCCTCTGAGGTCCTTTTTAGCTCTGAGATCAATTATGGTTTCAAAATGCTTCTCCCACTCAAATTCTACCCTTCCTCCAGGTTTCCTTTTAAGGTTCAGCTCAAGACTCAATTCTTTCATTCCCAGTCTATATACTCTTCCCCCGCCCCCCCATTCTTACATTACTTAAAATTAGTTCCTTGGAATTATTAATACCTTATCAGAAATGGTCTTATCTTCTGTCTTTACTATATAACACGAGTGGTTTAAAACAAAATAAAAACACCAGACCAAACTTGCTTTGTGGCCACGGGCAAATAAATCACTGAACTTTTCTAATCCTATTTTCCTCATTTGTAAAGTGAGAGGGTTGGATTCTAAGGTTCTCTTCCAGCTCTAGGATTTTTTTTTTTGGTTTCTGTTTTTGTAAACAGATAGGCCAACAATGTTTCTCCTCTAGGTGCTTTGGGAGACACGAGATACGGCAGCTCTCACGCTAGATTAGGATGGTGGTAAAATGAGCGAGGCAAGGAGCTATGAGAGCTTGAGGTCAACTGAGGAGGATACAGCGGGGGAAAAAAGAGTACAGATGTGCTGGCTTCCAGTGTGGCACTTTTCCTATCTAATAAAGAGTCACCCACCAAGAATGGGTCACCACTGGCCAAAATGTAGACTTTCTTCTAGAACGGTTCCATTTCCATGGAATATATCCCAAGATGCCCAAAGCACCACACACAGTCTAGTAAAGAAACATTTGTAGAATGGGAAAAGAATAACTAAAGATTTCCCCACCCCCAAACCCTAGTCTTTCTCCCCTCTCTCTTCTAAACAGCAGCCTATAATAATGATTCATCTCTCCTGCCTGGGATGCTGCTATGATTTATATAAACAGTGCTAAGAAACTATTAACAGATGGGGATAAAATATGACAGAGGAGAGACACAGGCCTCAATGATGGATGCCAGATGTTCACGCGACAGACACTGATGCTAAACACTGCCAACGTTTTTCTCCTCATATGTGGTGGTGGGGAAGGTTCCTTCCGCTTAATGTAACTCAGAAGCAGCTGTTTACTCTCCCCCCCTCCCTACCTCTACCTCTTGCAACCCAGAATGTAGCCGGCAAAGTGATTCTTGGAAGCTTCCAAAGTTAAATGTGAGGTAGTGGACACAGCACTGGGGCTGGAATCAGGAAGTTCTGAGTTCAAATCCAGCCTCAGACATCAACGAGCCCTGTGACCCTGGGCAAGTCACTTAGCCTCAGTTTCCTCAACTGCAAAATGGGGATAATAATAGTATCTACCTCCTGGAGTTGTTATAAAGATCAAATGAGATAATATTTATAAAAAGCTCTAAATCAGGCCCAGTTGACAAGCCCAAGCTCCCATTTTTGCTTGGTCAAAAGATGGACATAACCATATATCCACCAAGGCTTAGAGGTGGGTGCTCTGGAGAAACTGATGCAGTCAGAGGCACCTGAAACATCAGGCCCCCAAGGGCTGAAAGAGCAAATGGGGATTTATCGGTCTCAGTTATCTAGTACCTAAGCAGGAGATCAGTTTGTCAGATGATAAGCACTTCCTATGTGTCAGGCATTGTGCAAAGTAGTGGGGATATGGAAAAAAAAAAGGCAAAACCACGTTTCCTGTCCTCATGGAGCTCACATTCTGATGGAGAAGGCAACATGTAACTAACTTGGTAATAGAAGACATGTCATACATCTTATAAAGGTATACCTCCTTTTATTGTGCTTTGCCTTATTGCGCTTCAAAGAGATTACATGTTACAGTGATCTATGATCAGTGATCTTTTGTTACTATTGTATTTGTCTTGGGGTACCATGAACCATGCCCATATAAGATGGCAAACTTAATCGATAAATGTCTCTCTCCCTCTCCTCAGGCCTTGCTATTTCCCGAGGTACAATAGCACTGAAATTAGGTCATTTAATAACCACACAATGGCCTCTAAGTGTTCAAGTGAAAGGAAGAGTCAATAGGTGCTACAAACATCATTGTTGTCTTATTTTTAAAAATTGCCACAACCACCCCAACTATCACCACTAATCAGTCAGCAGCCATCAACACTGAGGCAAGACTTTCCACCAGCAGAAAGATTACAACTCACTGAAGGCTAGATGATGATTAGCATTTTTAGCAATAAAATGTTTTAATTAAGGTATGTACATTGCTTTTTTTTTACATAATACTATTTTTTACATAATACTATTGTATACTTAATAGACGATAGCATAAACGGTACAGGAGACATAACTTTAAATGCACTGGGAAACCAAAAAATTCATGTGACTTGCTTTGTTGAGATATTTGCTTTATTGTAGTGGTCTGAGGTATGCCTGTATAGATACCTATCTATCTATCTAAGTCATGTATCTTAGATATCCATATGTCTTGTAAAACCTAGTTATTTACATGTTGTCTCCTCCATCAGAATGTGAGCTCCATCAGGGACGCATATATGCACATGTGTATATGGGCATACATACACATATATGTGTATACATCATACATATACATATATATATGTATGTATGTAATAGCTAGGTGGCATAGTGAACATACTCCATAATGGTTTATGAGGACACTCTTCCAGCATGAGAGAAGGGCTCTATCATAGAATTCATGAGTTTGAAAGGACTTTGGAGGTCATCTAGACTAACTCCACGCTCAGAAGATGAAACCCCTGTAGAGAAGTCCAAAAGCCACTGCTCAAACATAGCCTCATGGGGCATCACTGGGCAGGGTCAGTATGAGCAGAACACATGGTATTTAAAGAGGCTAAAAGGTCCTTCTGACCCCAAACCTTCCCCTACTCCAGCTTACCAAGCTACTGAAATCCCTCAAGTGCCCACATTTTAAGTGAGTTAAGTCACTATGCTCCCTGAGAGGGATGAGATGTTGGCTGGGATTGGTTTACTTGATTAACTCACTGTCATGAACAGACATGAGGGTCCTCAGGTGGGAGGACATGTGTCCTTTCAGTTTTAATGGGAGGGAAGGAAGAAGGAAAGTGGGTGGCATGGATTCCTGAGGGAGTGGGTCAGTGCACAACCAATGGGTGAGGGCACTAAAGGAGTGGAGTAAAGTCCAACTCTGACAGCTCTTTGCATAGCCTGTCCTGTCTACCTCGACAGGGTCAGGGTTAGAGAACTTTCCTGGGGACTCTCAAGATCCCTGGTGCCACTGTGACAGCAGGACCCTTGCTTGGCAATCCTGGCACCACCACCACCTTCTCAGGCTAGCAATCTGGGAAATGTCTCAAAAGCCATAGAATGGCTATAATTTGCACAAACTTTTTTTGTTTGATCCTTACAAACAATCCTGTAGGGTAGATGCAGTTGGTATTTTCATCTTACAGAATGAGGACACAACTAATAAGTGTGTGACGTAGGATCTGAACTCAGTTCTTCCTGATTCCAGGTCTATCAACTAAGTGGTAGGTTACTTGGCTAGGATGAAAGAGGACAGGGGAGAAGAGTAATCTTCCTAAAGCCATCAATAGCTTTCTACTACTTAGAGGATGAAATCCAAACTCATCTTGGCATTCAAAGCCCTCCACAAATAATCCCTTTCCAAGCTTATCTTGGAATTATTGTTCTAATTTGCTGTTCTAACTATTGCTGAGTTATGGCCGACTCTTTGTGATCCCATGGACTACAGCACAACAAGACCATCTATGGGGTTTTCTTGGCAAAGACACTGAAGCAGTTTGCCACTTCTTCCTCCAGTGGATTAAAGCAGATAGAGGTTAAGTGGCTTGCTCAGGATCACACAGCTAGTAAGTGTCTGAGCCTGGATTTGAATTCAGGTTT